CCTGTATGCTGCAGAATGCTAATCTCAGAGGAGGGCTGTATCAGCCAGGTGCAGATTAGCCACTTTAACAAACAAACCCCCAAATGAATGATAGCTCAAACCCAGTGTAAGATATTTCTAACTCATGGAAAGTTCAAAAGAGGTATCTTTGGTCCCCAGGTGGCTCTCCTCCAGTTCACAATTCAGGAAGCTAAGCTCCTCCCACCTGGTGGCTCCATCTCTAACGCCTGCCTCCGGGAATTGTGCGGAATTGGCTGCATCAAGCTGGTGGGAAGCGAAAAGCCTGCAGCACCGCATGCTGGAGATGCTCATGGGCCAGGACAAACATCACTTTTGCTCACACTCCATTGGCTAGAATCATCAGGTCACATGGCCACGCCTAACTGCAAAGGAGGCTGGGAGGTGCAGTCAAGCCCAGTGCCCACAAGAAGAGAGAATAGGTTCCATGACAACTAGCCAGTCCCTGCCCCAGGGACAGTGCAGAAATATAGGGCGTGGCCTGCATTTCATAGAGCTGATCACTCTGTTGGGAAAATAGACCCTACATACGGAAGCAATTCTGCAGTTGAGCACTTCAGATAAAGGGCCAAATGGGGGAGTGGTGTGATCCAGCTGCGTGAGGACCGCACTGTCGCTGGGGATGACAGGCCACCTCACAAGTGGGGTGTCAGTGCAGTTCTGGAAAAGGACAGTTTTAGACCAGTTGGCAGGAGAAGGGCGAGTGTGGCATGGGAAGAAAGACAAAAGCATCTGCTCAGAAGTGAGAGGGATCATTCCATAACAAGGAATCCTGTCTGGCAAGGAAGGAGGCAAAGACTTTCATCATCAAAGAAAGCATTTGAGCTAAAAGATCGCACTGACCTCTGGTTTGGAAATGTGTCTCTTTCTAAGATCAAGTGCAATCTCAGTTACTGAGATAATGTAAGAGATGCTATGAGGTCAATTTCAGACCTATACTGAATAATCTTGCTACCTCCATGTCTAAAGCATTTAAAAAAATCAGATCTAAATCCAGGATTTACCCAGATTCACCGGTTAAAGATTTCAAGTTTGGAGTATTGCAGCTGAGAGGTTTTATCCCGATAGACACTAACAGTAAACATGAACTATAGATAGGTGTGTGATGCAGAATTTGTCCTTTAAGCAAGTGGGCTTTTTAAAAAGAAGTCATGGTATTCTCCTGTCAATTATACTTCCTGAAAATAACTTAAAATTTTTTTATTCAAGTATATTTGGCATACAATATTATATAGTTTCAGGTGTACAATATAGTGATTCAACATTTATATTCCTTATGATGTGATCACCACAATAAGTCTAGTAACCATCTGTCACCATACAAAGTTATTACAATATTATTGATGGTATTCGCTGTGCTCTACACTACATCCCTGTGGCTTACTTATTTTATAAATAGAAATTTGTACCTCATATTCCTCTTCACCTTTTTCACTCATCCCCAACCCTCACCTCTGGCAGGCATTAGTTTGTTCTATGAGTCTGTTTCTGTTTTGTTTTATATTTTGTTTTGTTGTGGGGTTTTTTTATTCCACATTTAAGTGAAATTATACAACATTTTTCTTTGTCTGACTTACTTCACCTAGCATAATACCCTCTAGGTTCATCCATGTTGTCACGAATGGCAAGATTTCTTTTTTATGACTAATATTTCCTTGTATATGTATCACATCTCTATCAATTTTTAAATGGACACCTAGATTGCTTTCATATCTTGCTATTGTAAATAATGCTGCAGTAAACATAGGGGTGTGTTATTTTTTTTTGAACAAATACTCAGAAATGGAATTGCTGTGTCCTAAGGCAAATCCATTTTTAATTGTTTGAGGAACCTCCACACTGTTTTCCACAGTGGCTGCACCAATTTGCAATTCCACTAACAGTGCACAAGGATTCCCTTTTCTCTAAATCCTCTCCAACACTTGTTGTTTGTTGACTTTTTGAAGATAGCCATTCTGACAGGTGTGAGGTGATACCTCATTGTGGTTTTGAATTGCATTTCTCTGATGATTAGTGATGTTGAGCTTCTTTTCATGTCTGTTGGCCATCCGTATGTCTTCTTTGGAGAAATGTCTACTCAGGTGCTTTGCCCAAATTTTAATCAGATTATTTGTTGTTGTTTTTATGCTCAGTTGTGTGAGTTCCTGACATATTTTGGATATCCCTTATCAAGTATATCATTTGCAAATATCTTCTTCCATTCAGTGAGCTGTCTTTTTGTTTTGTTGATGGTTTCCTTCGCTGTGCACAAGATTTTCATTTTAATATAGTTCCATTTGTTTATTTTTGCTTTTGTTTCCCTTGCCCAAGGAGACAGATCCAAAAAGATATTGCTTTTATTGTATTTCTCATATTTATGTTCTATCTACTTTTCCCTGAGACCCAAATTAAGTCCGATGACATCACAGTGCCAGTTTGAAAGTGATGTGCTTGCTCTCTGCCCTTGGACTCTCTCTGGTTCTCTTCCTCTGTCCCAGAGAATATGTTTATTATAAAATTACATATACGTATACATGTGGAAATGTAGCCTTCCATTAAAATTCTTATTATAAGAAATGTAACATTTATGGGCTTATTAGTTTTGTGGCTACTTAAGGGACATTGTGTGAAAGAATAATATTTACCTACCATTTTCTTGCCCACAGCCTTAACACAGAAGTAGATTTATTTTCCAAGTCCATTTTTATTTGCCTTACATATCAGGAAACTATAACAACAAATGATTCATTTGTGCCTTAAGCCTTTAAGAAATTAACTACCACCAACTGAGTTATAACAATTAATTGATGCAAGGCTGTGTGAATTTCAGCATACTATCTTATTTATTATGCTTTCTGTCCATGGCAATACCTCTGCCTACCTGTGTGGTGGGTCAGGTAGCCAGCTCCATCCCTCCATTACAGGTGAGGAATCTGAGATTGAGATGTGCAGTTATAGTCCCGAGATCTGGGCAAACCTGTGCCTCTGACAGGGCTGGAACTCAGGGCACCTAGCCCCTTGCCCTAGGATCTGTCCCCTTTCCAGCGTGACCGTACCTATATCTGTGGAGGAAACTGGACATTTGGATAATAACCGCTGAAATGTAGCTTCATTTAGGAGGATGGGTTTACACACACACATATTCATGCAGAGAGCGAAGGATGACATCATATCTGATAAGAAGGAGTGAAGTGTAACCATGAACTGAATGAGAAGTCAAATAACTAATCTATAAGGACTCTTCCCCCAAATCACATGATGTACCACTCAGATTCATTATTTTTGGTTGAATGTCATTTCCCATAACTTCTTGGACTGTTTGCATATTGATAAATGTATTTTTAGGTTTCAGAACATTATAATTCTTTGGGCACTTTCCCAATCTTTAAACCTTATATGTTGGTGGGGAAAATATAAAGCCATCTTTTTTCTTCATAGAGTACAGTAAGCATCTGTGGGGTACTTACTGACTATTACACATTGTGACAGGTCCTGGGGATTAAATAATCTGTGCCCCCAGAAAGCTCAGATTGTACAGGGAGCTTGAGGTAAGGACTATAAAAATTGGGCAGAAACAACATCCTGGTTCTAGTTACCTACAGATGCCTTAGCTTTGTTGAAGAAATTAGATTTTTCTAAATAACAAGCAACCAGTTTAGGACTTATGCCCTTTTGGTGAAATAAACTCCACCAACATGGGCTGAAAGAAGCGAGAGTGAAGGTCTGAGGCAAGTGGTGAGGAAGCTGCACCGAGAACAGATCCCTCGCAGAGAAAATGCCTTCGCTCCTGCAGAGGGAGCAGTACCTCCTCCCACAGCCCCAGCTCAGGTTCAGCACAGGTTCCCCAGGTTCAGCCCCAGGGGGTCGGCTGGGGAACAGAGCAAATGCGTCTCATTGTAGTGGGGTTTCCTGTCCCTGCTGACAACAGGGTGGATCTCCTGGGACAGAGTGATCCGTGTGGCAGCCCCTGCTCCAAGGTGACCCTATCATTAATGAGTGACAGGGAATCTCAGTCATTTCCCGATCAGCATCAGAGTGCAGCGAGGCCTTCCCGGGGAGGACCAGAAAGAGGAAAGCTTTTCGGGAGGG